CCTAGCTGTCTGATTCATATTTGGTTTCAGCTATGGTTAAAAATGTCCATAAGTAACACTGTTAGCATTCCAGCCATGTTAAGTGTGGTTATTGAGCCTAACACATTCCTTTCAGGTCTAACTTCAGTCTCCCAAAGGACAAGAGAGTGAAGATATTTCCTACAGCAGCAGATCTAGGGCCTCTGGGGGCCACATTAACCATCCCCTCTTCAATACATAAATGAGTAAATGCCCAAGGCATATACTACTTGTTAAGTACCATGTTCTGAGACTTTGTTTTATCTCCAGTATAAGCAGGCCTTATATGTACATATAACACATGGATTTGACTGTAGAGTGGTATGAAGAATAGGCTTTTTGGTGTGCAACACACAGAACAAGTTACGAGTCTGGCTTGAATGATCTAGAGGCAATGACCATGTTTCAAGAGATGGAAATTGAATCAGCGCACACTTTGAATTTTAACAGCAGAATCATTGATTTGTTTCCCTGCCCTGGAAGCTGCACAGCTGCTCCATTTAAACCTGTATAGTAGATTGCCTTTTAATTTGAAAAAAAAATCCTCTAAGCCATAGCATTGACCTTTCAGGAACAAGGTTAAAAGGCTTTTTCTGCCCATTGTCTGAGTTCATAACTGGTGTTTAAAATTAAAAAAAAGCCCAAGTCAATATGATCAGAGTAAAACTAAAGAACATCTTTTCTTGAACCTTATTCATTTGACTACACTTCAAAAATTTAAATGTGGCTTTTATTTTTCAATAACTTATTCAGTTAAATCATTGAGCTACATAAATCATTTAAGAGTTCTCTGAATTGTGTAGAAAGGCATCAAGGATTTCCTGAACTTCCATTCAGTTTTTTCTTCAGACCAACACAATATTATTTATTGTTCCTTTCTAATGGGGGCTGTCTCTTCCTGATTATTTAACAGTCTCTTCTACTGACATATCTGTAACAATAATTAGCCTCTGATTAACTCATCTCCAACTGCATGCAAAAGGTCCATATGGAATTTAAATTTATTGTTTTGCCTTCTCTTTTCCTAATTAAGATCAATTTCTTTTCCTGGTCTGTTGGGAATGGATCTCTGTATCTTTTTTTTGGTTATATTTTTGTGTATAAGCTATTTATTATTGATTTTATACGCCCAGACACACAGAGCATTGGGGGTGGGTATATCCAAAATTATGCAGAATATACATATTACAATGATAATTTGTCAGAGAAATGTTATGTCTGCTATCTCGCTCTATTAGTAATTATAAACAACTGCTGCTGATTTTCTTATAAGGATATCCAGCCATGTTGTTTTCTCCATTATTATTTTATTTGTTTATATGACATTCCCATAGGAACCTGAGATTCTACCCTCTGCAGTTTTCTTAAGTGAGATTTTACAGAAAGATTTAATAATTCTTTTTCATGTAGAGCCCTACACCGCCATCCCATTTCTGGAAATAGGCTACATGTGTTAGGATTAAGCATCAGGTGGCTAGTTAAAGGCTTGCATGAAAATAGTATTGACTATCCCTCACCGTGAATGCTGTATTGGATGGGATCGTTATGGAGATTTCTGGTGCAACAGAATATTCCCAGTGTCAAGCCATACAAGGGTGTGAATCTGTTCAGTGAACATCCACAAAAGATTAAAAAGTTAAGCCTTTACTGAAGCCAAATTCACTGCACTGCATATTGATTTTACTTTGGATATACACTAAAGATAGCAATTGTATAATCTACTATCTTGCTGTGATCTGAAGCCCTCTTGATTGAGAAAATACGCTAATAACATCACCTCTTTCTACTTCATTTGATAGTGCTAATTGACAAAGACCAAGTCCCAAAGTGGAAGCCAGCGACTTTAGAAGAAGTAACAGATGAATTTGTGGGCAGTTGCTTTAAGTCATTGGGAAACAGCGATCTCAAGTTATAATGACAGTGCACAAGCCTATCAAGGTTCTGTTCATCTGTGTAATACAAGGACACAAAAATTAATAGTGATGAAGAGACTTTGATGAAGTCAGTATGGTAACTCTCTTGTGTCTAATCTGCTTGAGAGGCACATTCTGTAGCTTTTACTTTGTCTGTAGTACCATAATGAGAAAACTGAATCCGGAATAAACTACTTCAAGGAAAAGCCTTTTACTAATTGCTATTATGTAATAAAGAACATTTGATTTGGAGCTACCTGTCAGTTTAGTGGGGAAATGCTGAGGCGACAGCCTGAGTCAGTGAATAGTTGACATGACTAAGTTGGTCGTGTCTCAGTTTCTCCTTTATAAAGTGTAAATAAAAATACTGAAATTTTATAAAGCGCACACACACTCACTTTTTGTGGCATGGGGTAGTAAGTTCAGTAATACCAAAATAAGCCGATAGTTTTAACAACGTATTGGATTGATAGTGAGAAGTTGCTGTGCTACTGATTTAGCATCAGGTCAGCATTATGACCTAGCATTTGATATAACTTCATCATCTGGAACGAACATCCAATTTTATAGCTGAAATTGCCAGTCAACCTAACGGATAATATTTTACAGAGCTGACTAGTTTAATGGTATTTTTAATACTATTGCCATTTACCACATGGTAGGTTATTTTTACAGTTTAACCTCTATAAAGGTAACCCTGCGTAGCAAGGAATTTATCTTCATTTGAGAAAGCGTTATTGAACTTTCCCTGGTTTTGTGATGTCAGTTGAATTCAGTTGTGGAATTAATGTCTCGAAGTGTGGTGAACATTAAGGGCCAGATTCATTGTTTGTGGCAGCAGCTGTAGCTCTGTTAATTTCAGTGATGCACAGAAGAACTTAACAATGCATGACTGCAATTTAGCTGTACTAACCAATAAACAGAAATTCTTTCTACATGCAAGAGATGTAGAAGGTCTGCATGTGGCCTAACTGAGGAGATCTATTGCATTGGGACAAGGGCAGGTTTTGTGGCAACTATGGAGTCAGGTGCACATGCCCAGGGCTGGCCTTACCATGAGGCGAACTGAGGCAACTGCCTCAGGTGCCAGACTATAGGCGGAGCGCCACTAGGACCCAGAGAATTCAGACCTTTCAAAGTTTTGCCCCAAGCGAGAGGGCATTGGGGTGTCTTTAAGCTCCCCGCCTCAGGTGCCAAAATGTGGGTTGGCCCTGCACATGCCTAAGTGGTTCATGTGAGCTGAGGGAGCAGAGGCAACATGAGTGGTTTTCAAGTTTTCCTCATTTGCAGCTCTCTAAAGAATTTCAAATGGAGGAGTGGACCCCTTTGGCAATCTTAAGACTGAAGTTCCCCAGCCCCACAAGTTGAAAACCACTGACCTAGAGCAAGTCCCTCAGCTAGTCAATGTGGGGAGCATATGGGTAGGCTAAGAAGCCTACTCCAGCAGACCGTAGATGTGCAAGAGGCTGCCAGTGGGCTGCATCCGGACTGTCACTGCCCGTGACTGTGTCACATCAGTTCACATTTTTAAAAGCCATTTGTTTTCCATTCCAGATGGAATTTGTATGCTGTTACTCCCCCCCCAGCAAAAATCTCTTAGCACCCATTGGCCAATTTCTGCTTCTGGCCAATAGGAGCTGAGAATTTTTGCTGGGAGCAGGGGTAGTGTTAGGAAGCCTCACTCCCTCCTTGTCCCCACTCCCCCTCATGGCCAGAGCAGAGCCAGATGCGAGTGACCTGCAGCAGAGAGTCTGTCTCAGGTTTCTGCTGGTAAGTGCCTCCCAACCAGACCCTGCCTCTAGCACCCCAGCCCCTCCCTTCCCCACTCTCTTGCCCCAGATCACAATATCTTCCGTTACATCCCAGTCCTCTGCCCTAGGTCACAACTGCTTCCTTCACCCAAACTCCATCCCAGACCCCAGAATTCCTCCATTAATATCCTGGAAGAGTGCAGCCCTCGACCACTTTCCAAAATCTTGGTGTGCCTCTTCCCACCACCTCCCCCAGTCAAAAACTTCTCTAATAAAAAAATGCTCCTCAAATGCACATTAAAGATTGTTGTTCCTTCTCAGGCTTCTGCTGATGTTAATAATGCCCTGGAGATCCACCATCCAGCCACTGGAAGACTAGTTGAGAGGGAGAAATGAGCTGAAAGGGGAAAAGCGTTTATTCAAACAAACATGTTTAGTAATTGGCAGTGCTGAAATAAAATAGACTGACAATGCAGAAAGATGGCAGAATTGCTGACAGAGTGCTCAAAGGTGTGCAGCAATTTACTCTACAAGCTATGTAATTTAGGCAGCTAGTTGACCTGTAATCTCTTGGTGCATATAATTGAGAGAGCGCGCTAAAGAAGTACTGATGTCTTGACTGTTCCTAAAAATTCCTCTCATTAGTGGCCTAGGATTGTCTAAAGTGCCTTGGTAAAACTCCAGTCTATCTGTTGGTTAGAGTAATGAGGTACGTTTTGTTATTAATGTTAAAACTTTTTAGCATGCATAAGTACCAAGTCACTTTTTAGCCTTTTATAAAAGAAGCTTTAAATTATTATAAGTTCTGAAGTAACAAGTTTTCATTTGTTCAGAAAAATTGTTCCATTATTCTTGAGCAAAATGTAATAGTCCTCTATTGTGTGTTTCATAAACAAAATCAAGATTTTGAGCTCATTGATTTCAGGAAGCGTGTCTTTGTTTGAAAAGTGTCTAGCACCGTGCTAGAGCATTGCAAGATTTTATAGGAATAAATTAATATACTCAGAACAGTGTGTAATGTATATTTTAATTAATTAAAAAAACTTACAAGCAATTAATTACAACTTAATTTTATTCAGTTAAGAAAATGTTTTTCACAAAAATATTGTAAAAATATATGGTCATACTAGAGTTTGGATCCAGCTCTGTCATGCTGCCAAAATGTCAGTTTTACAAAGTTGTTCTGTAGTTAGTTTTGGAACCAAAGTAGAGGAGAGAATCAAACAAGGCAAATAACATGCTTTAGTGAGATACATCTGTCATTGTTTTATGATTAGTCTCATACTGTACTTGTATAAAGTATAGTAAAACTCTAAAAATGTTTCCCCAAAAAGTGTGTGCCTCTCACAAGTCTTCTGTATACAATATCAAATGAAAAAGCAAGTTGCAACTCTTTTGTTGGTGCACCACTGTTGCATCTCTAGCCTAAAAATACTACCATTTAAAACAAATTAATATTGAGTAGGTAGTCTGTGATTTTATTTAAAATGTCATTTAGGTGAAGGCCTTTATATGTATCATGAAGGACAGTAGCAGGACTGCTCATTTTCAAAAATATTGCCAATTCTGTCAGGTTTGTTACTTTAGAATACAGTTCTATAGACTTAAGAATACAAGCATCATTTGCCAAGATCAGAGTCCTACAAAACTTAAATGGATAAAAGTCAAATTATTTTCCTGGTAAGCAGCTGGGTTTATACATAGCTGCCCCTACTGCTCCTGAGCCTACTTTCCATCTGCTCTGTGCTTGCCTGAAAATACTGTTCCTTTCACACACTGCTAGAGTAGCACTCTGGGTTGTATCAGAGGGCTGTGAACTGTCAGGCACAGTATCGTGGAGAACAGGTTTGGAAACCACTGGTTGGAGATTCAGATATGGAAAATATTAGTAGTAAGAGACCGTTTTAATGGAGGAGGGCTGCTGTAAGTAGTATTTGTAGGTAGACTGCAAGTTCACAGCAGCTGTAAAGTTAAATATTCCAAATGCTAGCTCTGTATCATACACCATTTACCTTTTAGGTGCAAATTTTCTCCTTTGATTCTTATGCATTTAACATCTTTTCTAATGTTGTTGTGGGTGCTGTGATTCAGCTACAAGCCTCACAACTGGGGATCTTATGCAGGGAAAGGTGCAATTCAGCTATAAACAAAACTAAACTACCTTCCTGGTAGAGAATCTGCTTTCAAGCTGTGTACCTGCTACCCTAGCACTGGTAGCAGGCACTAGCGTAGTGCAGGAAAGGAAAGAAGCTGTCTGTCTCTCTTGCTTTCTTCCCTTTCTGCTCCCTTTTAGCAGTGCCTTCAGTCATAGGAGTGGGGTCAACTTGCTCTGTTGTGCCTGTTGGTGCCTCTTCTTCCCAGCCTTTACAAACAAAATACCCATTTCGCACAGAAGCCTATTCAGTCATCAAGAATCAGGTGACCCCAACTGCAGTACTGTCACGGGGTGGGGACAGACTATCCCATAAGCAACTCCTTCCATCATCCTTAAGCCATTTGGCCTTTCCAATTACGGGTGAACACCTAATTTTTCTGCTGTCATAGATCAGCCCGTGGATTATGTAGCCCAGTGAAAACAGCTGAGCATTCAAGTGTCTGGAACGCTCTCTTTTTGGGTTGTAGAATGCAGTCAGGGTCGTAAGAAGCATGCCAGTCGTCTCCTGCCCCCTTGTCTACACAAAGTGCAGTAGGGACTAGTGGAAAAAGAGAAATAACCAATACATGCTAATTTGTAAAGGAAGATATAATTAATTAGAGCATTCTAGTAACAAATAGTGTAGCTACTTGAGCAAAAAATGAAAAGAATCTGCTTAGGTGCATGAAGCTCTGTATAGGGACCTTTTTTCCAAACGTTGTTAAACTGACACTTCATTGCCAATGTCTCTGCAAAAAAAAAGGGGGGGGAAGGGGGGAGACAGTGTTGGGAGGGAACAGTGTTGCAATTGGAATTCAGTTCAATATCAAGTGTAGCTCATTCCTTGGCATTTCATAACCAAAGCCTAACCTGTGACGAATGGTGGTAAAAGATCTCTTTTGACATAGGAATAAGCTTTTGCTCTAACACAAGCTTTGTTTACTCTGAATTGGATTTGAAGTGTAACATGAAACCCAGCCTCCTTAAACTATAGTGCTGTTAATTTCAGATTGCACTAAGTGTATTTTAAAAATAAATGAGATGGGGAAATGTCATCTGAATAGCAGATGCACAGAAGCAATGTGTATGCAGTTCAGTCTATAGTGATTTAACAATGTTGTCAGTAATGGGACAGGCAGATTTTCTTGCTGTAGCATATCGCGCACAGTCTGATTCTAGAAGAAAATATTTGTTTTCCTACCTTTTCTCCTCCTTATATAGGAAAAGGTTCCCTTTTCAGACTGATTAGCTAAACAATACATGAACACAGGATTAGGTTTTTTTTCCATGTCTGATTCTATTTCTTTTTTAAATTCACTTAGTTTAAAATCACTTTTTTTTTTTCAGTGAGGGCACCTGTAGAGCACAACTCAACATACTATACTCACTGTAAACCTCAGGGAGATTCAGTTATAGTGATGGGATTTAAATGGACATTGTGAATTACTGGGTCTGTTAACACAATGGCCCACTTTAAAATATTGTTTTGGAGAAGACGACAATATTCAGTAGACTGGATCCAAATTATTTTTCCTTTTCCTCAAGGGCTTGGGAAAATATTCTAAATAACAGCACAGTGTGATCTATGGAATTAACTTCAGTGTGCACACCTTTATTTCAAGTCAGTCTTGGGTTGTGTTATTAGAAACTGCCCTCCATTTATACTCCTGATAAATTGTCATTTACTTTTATACACTAACCCAAAATAACTCAGGTCTCCTTTTTCAATTTGCTTCAGCTATATAAACATCCACATTTCCTCTATCCACTACATGGACAAATTGTCTTTAGGGTTAGTTTGGTCACGCTGTGGCTCAGTCTAGCTGACCCTTCCAATTCCCAAAAATGTTATTCAAACTATAATTTTTGCACTGCTTAATAATTTTTCAAAAACGCTTTAAACTTACTCAGAAAAGCTATTACCTATTTAAAAAATTGCAAACCCATTATTTCCCTGCTAAGTTATAATGGAATGAATGAAAATATGCATCTACTTTTGACTGCCTTATCTATGCATTTTTATTATCAGCTGTGGATATTGATGGAAGAGGAAAGCGAGCAAAGAAACTAAGCTCCTAGAAGGCATGAAATTGTATATAGTGTTTGAGTGCAAAACTATGCTCAGTGGCATTAGATAACATACTGGAGACTCCTGTTCTCCAAATCCATCATTGCTTCTCTTACTTAACCTACAAGATCTGTCTTGGATGGGCTGGACTATAAATCCCGTTGAAGAAGAGCACATTGTCTGGACTAGTTAAAATATTCCTTTAATACTTTAGCTCTTCAGCCTTTGGCTCCAATACAGTTTGGATTCATGGCACTTAATCATCATTTAGTCAGATTCACAGTTCAGCTAACATTAAAAAAAAGAGAGCCCCTCACAGTAACATGAGGAAGACCTGCTGCTCCAAATGGCATCCTGTCAGTGGTATTTCAGCATAATATGTAAATGAGATGTTCTCAGCCATTCACGATTATACTGATAAATAAAATGAATCTTTGTAGGCATATTTATTTTCCCTCACTTTCCTGGCTAAAATAAGTAATCTTTGGTCTTCGTATAGTAATTATATGCAACTGACTGCTCAGCAATGAATGTTATTGGTAACCTTAATTTATGCTTTTAGAGATTCCTCGATACCCTTCACCTAGTTTGAGACCAAGGCATGTGTTTAATGGTTCATCAGAATAATTAGGTATCAGTGCCTTTAATACATTTCCTATTGATGTGTTTAAGGACAGTTTTAAATGGCATCATAATCCATATGGTTTGTTTTCTACTCGTCACTGTTAAAAAGGACTTTTCCTTGGCTTAACAGTCTCAATTGTTCATCCTAAAAGATCAACGGTTAATTAATGACCAAACTCCTTCCAGTTATCTATGCTACAGCTCTATATAATCCTAATTCCCATTTAACAGAAATTAGAGCATTTTATCATATGTGCAATTCCTCCCTTTTCTCATGTAAGATCATAGGCAGATGCAAGGCTTACACATTTATAAAGTAATCTATTTTCACAACAGCTTTCATGTAGCACAATAAACAATTTGTACCTTAAGTATCTTTGGTGCTGATGTCGTTGCAACCATTGAATGGTGGTTACCGAAGCAGCACTTTCGTGCATCCATTTTCCTGACATTCAATATGACTAGACTCAAAACATACAAAATAGATAGAATATACTCTGCATATGGCAAACCATAACTCATGTTGGATTAATGGATTCTGCTGTGGTCCAGTTGCTCATGATTTCTTAGTGGTTTAAATAAAAGGACATGTTATGCTCCTGTGACCTTCCATAGTATGGTTGGTGTTTTGCTTAAATCACAGCTGCTTTTGCTGGAACTTTTTTATTTGCAATAGCACCAAATATGAATTAACAGACAGATGGAGGCTTATTGAGAAGATAATCCTTGGAATTCAGGGCACATCACTTTCGATGAAAGGGATGTCACTATATTTGCTTTCAGTCACTGCCCATTGTTTCACAGCCTGATCAAGAATTTCATGAGAAAGACGGTGCGCGTAATCCAGCACTATGGTACTCGATGAGCCCCTCTCATCCAGCTTCACTGTAATCAGTGAAGATTTCTCCCCAGTGCATCCTTCACCACCTTCCCTGCTCTTCTCATCCAGAATAGTGTTTGAGCCTGGAAAAGCGTTCTTGGACTTGATGCATCCCATGGTATGTCTAAAAATCTGGCAGCAAAGGTTAGTTTAGGAACATGTTCTGAAAAATTGAAATAGTTCTCTTGATTGATGTGCAGCTTTTATTTCTTCTGCAAGCCGTTCCAGCAACTTCGAAAGAATAAACTGTCCCTTTTGTACCTCCTCACATCTATAGAAATCTGTCAAAATAATGTTTTGTATAATTTCAGTTTAAGAAATTACATCATTCTTAATACTGAACAACAGAGCTACAATTGGAAGTGTAATTCATCATTTCAGGTTATAAGAGAAACATTTTGCACATGCCAGCACAGAGCTGTATGGTTGTTTTCATTAGTAAGATCCATCTATTACAGTGAATATAATTTTTTGGACTTATCAAGCAGGCCTTGAAAAGTTCAATTTGCCAGTTGTGAGATGTGAATTGTAGGTCGCTTAGTGTCTGCTAAGTTTTGTTTTGTATATTGACATCCCAGAC